TTCGTTTGTAACATATAATGAATTGATCAGCAGACTATTCTGGAATCAATCCCGATATGGAAATATCCCTGACTGTATTTTACTATTATATGATCAACATCTTGCATAGCAATTATGCATATGCATAGAGATGTTAATAGTCTGGTCCAGACTAAATGGACTATGAATGAATTGGTCTGGACTTAGGTATAAAAGACCATTTGGAGCATTGCATTTTTTATCATAAAAGCATTTATTTCAATTTTATTTGTTAAAAATATTATTTTATTATCACAACTCAATTCCAAGTTATCAATATGAATGTCCATTCTTTCTGAAATCCAGATAATACAAATTCTTCAAAATATTTGTTTTATTTGAATTATTGTTGGTTTTATCTGTTTTATTCAATCATTGATTTTATTTAAATCATTTGCTTTATTCAAATTACTTATTTATTCATTTTCTTTTTTATTTGTTTTATCTGTATTATTTGAATTACTGTACTTGATTATTCATTTTATTCATTATTTGTTTTATTCATTTTACTCAAATCATTTGTTTTATTCAAGTCATTTGTTTCATTTGTTTCATTTGTTTCATTTACTTTTATTCAAATAGAAACCCTAAGTCTGGACACAGTCTGGACTGCAGTCTTGGACTGGACCAATAGTCCAGTCCTTTGGTTAGACTGATGTCTTTGGACCAGACTGTTAACCACCCTACAAATTCATCTTTCTGGATACTATACAAATTGCATAAAATTATCATCCCTGTTCTGTTTAAAGTTGGTGTCTGTAACTTTTTTCACATTTTCTGCAACTGCAGGTTTTAAAGCTCAATTTGCAACATTTTCTACAACCTCTGCAACCCCTGAAACTGCCTGAAACTGTCTGCAACTATAATTGTGATGATTTAGTATCAAAAATGGAATCACATAACTGCAAAATGGGATTTATTGTTTTTAAATAAAATTATTAATTAAAAAATTTTTTTTGATAAAAATAAATTTAGTTTTATAGTGATTGAAGTAGCTGATCAACCAGAGGTTGCAGACAGTTGCAGAGCCATCTTTAGTTTGTTCTTGTTTGTTATATTATCAAAACTAATTTTTATTGGATGATCAGAAGCAACAGGAAATAGAACAGAGGAACAACAAATTTGTTGTTTCTCTTTGTTTCCACTTCCAAATTTGGAAACAATTTTTTTAAAAAAATTCTAAAAATGAAAACAAGAAAATGAGAATATCAAAAATAGTTACACAACAAACAACTTCAACAGCAGCAGCAGCAGCAGCAACAACAACCAAGTGTTCATTCAGTTCAAAAAGGACAACTTCTTCTATTAATAATGACAAACAACAACAGCAAAGTATTTATCCAGTTCAAAGGATAGCTTCTTCTACTATTAATGACAACAATAATAACAAAGTATTTATCCAGTTTAAAGAACAATTCCTTCTATTAATAATGACAAAATGACAACAACAACAACAACAACAAAATATTCATCCATTTCAAAGGGCAATTCATCTTCATCAAAACTTTCATCAAATTCATCTGAATCAGTCACTTCTTGACATTTTAATAATAATTTATATGGGGCAAATAAATATAGTAATGGTGATTCTGAATATACTTAATAATAAGATTTGCACCAACCTGGCATCAGCTGGCTTTCTGGATATTTGTTTGCAATATCTTCATGCAAACAATACAAACATAATGGTCTAAAAACCAATAAAAATTAAATTCTAGTCATAAATTTCTAATTTTAATAAAAAACATACTTTGAACAAATCAACAGATTATTACAGACTATTAACAGGTTATGAAAGAGCAAGTTTAATAGTATTTCTTTCAATTATTAATAAACCGATTTATTTTTAGAAAATGTAACATAGATATAATAAGAAGTATCTTGTTAATTCGTTTGTAACATATAATGAATTGATCAGCAGACTATTCTGGAATCAATCCCGATATGGAAATATCCCTGACTGTATTTTACTATTATATGATCAACATCTTGCATAGCAATTATGCATATGCATAGAGATGTTAATAGTCTGGTCCAGACTAAATGGACTATGAATGAATTGGTCTGGACTTAGGTATAAAAGACCATTTGGAGCATTGCATTTTTTATCATAAAAGCATTTATTTCAATTTTATTTGTTAAAAATATTATTTTATTATCACAACTCAATTCCAAGTTATCAATATGAATGTCCATTCTTTCTGAAATCCAGATAATACAAATTCTTCAAAATATTTGTTTTATTTGAATTATTGTTGGTTTTATCTGTTTTATTCAATCATTGATTTTATTTAAATCATTTGCTTTATTCAAATTACTTATTTATTCATTTTCTTTTTTATTTGTTTTATCTGTATTATTTGAATTACTGTACTTGATTATTCATTTTATTCATTATTTGTTTTATTCATTTTACTCAAATCATTTGTTTTATTCAAGTCATTTGTTTCATTTGTTTCATTTGTTTCATTTACTTTTATTCAAATAGAAACCCTAAGTCTGGACACAGTCTGGACTGCAGTCTTGGACTGGACCAATAGTCCAGTCCTTTGGTTAGACTGATGTCTTTGGACCAGACTGTTAACCACCCTACAAATTCATCTTTCTGGATACTATACAAATTGCATAAAATTATCATCCCTGTTCTGTTTAAAGTTGGTGTCTGTAACTTTTTTCACATTTTCTGCAACTGCAGGTTTTAAAGCTCAATTTGCAACATTTTCTACAACCTCTGCAACCCCTGAAACTGCCTGAAACTGTCTGCAACTATAATTGTGATGATTTAGTATCAAAAATGGAATCACATAACTGCAAAATGGGATTTATTGTTTTTAAATAAAATTATTAATTAAAAAATTTTTTTTGATAAAAATAAATTTAGTTTTATAGTGATTGAAGTAGCTGATCAACCAGAGGTTGCAGACAGTTGCAGAGCCATCTTTAGTTTGTTCTTGTTTGTTATATTATCAAAACTAATTTTTATTGGATGATCAGAAGCAACAGGAAATAGAACAGAGGAACAACAAATTTGTTGTTTCTCTTTGTTTCCACTTCCAAATTTGGAAACAATTTTTTTAAAAAAATTCTAAAAATGAAAACAAGAAAATGAGAATATCAAAAATAGTTACACAACAAACAACTTCAACAGCAGCAGCAGCAGCAGCAACAACAACCAAGTGTTCATTCAGTTCAAAAAGGACAACTTCTTCTATTAATAATGACAAACAACAACAGCAAAGTATTTATCCAGTTCAAAGGATAGCTTCTTCTACTATTAATGACAACAATAATAACAAAGTATTTATCCAGTTTAAAGAACAATTCCTTCTATTAATAATGACAAAATGACAACAACAACAACAACAACAAAATATTCATCCATTTCAAAGGGCAATTCATCTTCATCAAAACTTTCATCAAATTCATCTGAATCAGTCACTTCTTGACATTTTAATAATAATTTATATGGGGCATGCTGCAACAAAACCAGACAAAGTGAACATTGGTATTACCAAAAATTTCAGGGATCAAAATTTAGTCATTTGTAATGGTGATCATAATTAACAGTTTTATTTGTTATCTTAAGTGATATATAGAACTATCCCTATATAAAAAAGCATAATAGACATTCGTTTATCACATGGTGACAAAATTGAATGCAGATCTTTTTTAATGCTGTGCAACAACATATTTCAATTGTTAAAATAGAAAAGGCTGGTTATAATACAAGTGATTAAAAACTACTTGTAAAACGATCATGTTTTGCTTGAACAATTCTCAAAGAAAAAGAAAAAAAACTGGATTATAAAATAATATATATATATATAACTATTTTTTTATTATTTCAAAGATGACAGAGAATCCTCAAAGAAAAACTAATATATAGACTTAATAAGCAGGTAAAGAAGTAATACATTTATTTATACTGCATATATATACAACTATTATTAAAAATATAAGGAAAAATATCTCAATTCTATTTTTATATATACATACAAATTCTTATGCCTTTTTCATATATATTTATTACAAGTCCATTACATCACTAAATTCTTCATTTTCTATGTCTGTTTTATAGCAGTTCCATTAATAATTTTTTCAGTTGAACTTACATTAGATATATAACAAAAGAAATAAAGATTGAGCTCATTTTTTTTTAAAAAAAAATAATTATATAGATGATAATTTATTGAATTGAGTTTTATATTTAAAAAATATATATATTATTTTTTTTTGAAAGAAATTATTATTTTTATATATATATATATATTTTCTATACAATTATTCATTAAGAGAGGCAATTGTGGCAAACAAATATAATTAAATATAATTGGTATATAATTATATTTCTCATATCATATATATATATACATAGGGATGTTAACTCAGTCCAAAGGACCAGTTAACCAACGGTCCGTCCTTGGACTGACACGATCTTTTTACCTAATAGGACAGACCAGTCTTTTTGGTCTTTTGATAATATAGACCGCAGTCTCAGGACTGGACCAGTCTGGGACTGATAAATTTTTTTTTGAAATGATTTTTTGTACTACAATTTAATAAATAAAAAATAAAAATTAGTTAATATTAAGAAAACGAAAAGTTATTTTTTAATCATCATAATAATAATTATTATAATAAACAAGTTCAAAAAAAAATAAAATCAAAAGGAAAGTTATTTTTAATCATAATAATAAAAATAAGTAATAATAGACAAGTTAAAAAAATTATTTTTAATAATAGACAAGTAAAAAAAGCAGAGTTGTTTAATAATAATAATTAAAAGTTTAAACAATAATTAGAAAGTTTTGGATATAACTTAAAATCTTAGAATAAAATAATTCACAATTCATTCCTTTGATTAGAATATTTTTCATAAAGTATCCTTGATTTTTTTTACAAATTGAAATAATTTTTTCATTAAAAAACATTATTATATAGAAATATATTTTTTTTATCATCAAATATTTCATTAATTAAAGATGGGTGACAATTCCAGTGTTGATGAAAATTATCTTCAAGAACCAGATGTTGAGTTCAATAATGATATTGTACCAATAGTTGATATAGATGATAGTAACACCAACAATAGTTTATTAAGTTTATCAGATATTTCATCAGAAATAATTTCAGATGCAGTGCATGATAATAACAACAACATTCATAATTATGATAACAATGTTCATAATAATAATGATTTTTGCAATAATAATAATAATAATAATAATCAACATTCATTTGTTTGGTTGTTTTTTTCAAGATTACCCAATAACAAAGTGCAATGTAAAACATGTAGGCAATTTTTTAGTGAAAAATCAGCTACCACCACTCTCAGAAGACACATTGAAGGGAAACATTCCAATATTTACGATAGAACCAAACAAACTGCACTTGAAATAAACAGGTTTCAACCATATTCTACAACATCCTCAGAATATAAATCAATGACCAATAAATTAATTGATTGACTTGCAACAGATTTGCTGCCATTTACAATTGTGGAAAGTCCTCATTTCAATAAATTCATAAATTTATTAAATGGTCGTTATAAACCACCATCTCGTCAAACCATCAAAAAATTAATAATTAAGAAATTTAATATTAAAAGAAATAATCTAAAATATGACATTGAAAAAATACCTGGAAAAGTTGCATTTACAACTGATATATGGAGCAGTATGACGAATCAATCTTATTTAGGCATCACTTTGCATTTTATAGATGATGATTGGAACCTGAAAAACTTAACACTTGATGTGATTCATTTGGAGGATCATCATACTGGAAATATAATTGCAGATAAGGTTTTTAATTTACTTGATGAGTTTAATTTAACCACTAAGGTTTTAGCATTTACCACTGATAATGCTGCTAATATGTTGAAATTTGGTGAAGTATTGATTGATCTTTTGAGGGTTTGTTCCAATCATCATATTATGCACATAAGATGTGCTGCCCATATCTTAAACATAGCTGTGCAGCATGGTCTAGAGATAGTTAGTGATGAAGTTGTTAAATTGAGGAATTATGTTAAAAAAATAAGAAGTTCAACATTATTGAATGATGAATTATGAAGAATTTTTGAAAATAAGAATGAACAATTCTTATCACCTACCTTAGATTGTCCTACAAGATGGAACTCGACTTATTTAATGATAAATAGGCAAAGAAAAACCATGGAATACCATCAACGTCTTGTTAGATCTACTTCAAGTGGTGCAATATTAGATTACCCAACTAATGATGATTGGAATAGGCTAAGTGATTTATGTGAAGTTTTAAAACCTATATACATTGCTACAACATTGTTATCAAATACAAAATATCCATCACTTGGAGATGTACGTCTTACATTTTTGGGGATTTTAAAAAATTTAAATGATATTATTGATAATGATCAGAATGAGCAATATTTAATAGCAGATTCTGTTAGGCATAAGTTGCAAATCTATTGGAATTTAATTAAAAAAAATACAAGAATCTGTTCAATATTAGATCCCCATTCGAAATTAAGACTTTTTTTTAATAATGCTGATATCAGTGAAGTTAACAATGATGTTAAAGAATTAATAACTGAGCATATTTCAAATGCAAACAATAATAGCCATAATAATAATCAATACCCTATTTCACATCATGTATATTTTTATAATCTTTTCACTACTAATAGTGATAACTCTAATACTAATGATCAAAATAACATAGATGAATACAATAATTATCTCAATTTGCCTTCAATTTCAGATAACATTAAAGTAGATACCTTAACTTGGTGGAGAGCACATCAAGAGGAATTCCCAACACTAGCAAAAATAGTAATAGGGCTTTTTTATTCTTTTTCCTTCCATTCTTTCCTCAACTAATCCATTGTTTTTCCAAACTTCAT